AGGGCACTCCTGGCAGGGACAAGCACAATGGGAGCAAAGTCCCAAAGGAGGGACTCTGCAGGGTATATTGCACAACAGTGGGAAGGGCAGTTGGTCTGCATTGGAGAGCTAGTGAAAGAAGCCTTGAGAGATTATGCTGAAGATAGGCTGAACCAGATTGTAGGAACCTTGGAAGTCAGGCTCAGACTTTATCCTGTTGACCATGAGAGGCTTCCAAGCAGAGAGGTGACAGAAATGCAGAAATGTAAGCAAGGAGGTGACAAAAACAATGATGAGTTTTAGGAATAAGCAATGGAGACTACTCTCTTCAGTTAATTTATCCTAACTGTGGGTCCTTTTGCCAAACCCAGACCAACCAGAATCTATGTCTGGTGAAATAAGTGTTCAGAATTATATCCTGGTGCAATTTTCCTAACACCTAGGCCCTGGAAATGCAATCCAAATATTTTACACACACACACACAAAATTTCCACACATATTTCCATATACATATATATATACACACACACACATATATAGAGTTTTTTTGTTTTGTTTTGTTTTGTTTTTGTTGTTTTTAGATCAGGTCTCACAGTATCACCCAGGCTGGAGTGCAGTGCTGTGATGGGGGCTTACTGCACCCTCAACCTCCCAGGCTCAAGCGATCCTCCCACCTCAGCCTCCTCAGTAGCTAGAACCACAGACTCAGGCGACCATGCCCGGCTACATTTTTTTCGTATTTATTGTAAAGACCCGTTTGCTATGTTGCTATGCTAGTTTCGAACTGTTGGGCTCAAGCAATCCTCCTGCCTCTGCCATTCAAATTGTGGGGATTATAGATGTGAGCCACCGCACCTGGCCCAAATATTTTTCTTGACCTTTAAGTGACACAGTAAACTGACTCCAGAACATGCAAACGAAAAATTAAAAACATATTATACTTGCTCCTAGGACTATGGCAATAAAAACCACATTTGTGAAACATGTTTACTTTACCCTCAACTCAACAGTTTTGAAAAGGGCTTTTAATCCTGTTAAAATTAGATTTGATAACACTGCCGTAGTTATTAGGCATTGTTAAATATTCTTTCATCTAGGGGCCGGGTGAGGTGTCTCACGCCTGTAATCCCAACACTTTGGGAGGCCGAGGCAGGCGGATCACCTGAGGTCAGGAGTTTGAGATCAGCCTGGCCCACAGAGCTAAACCCGGTTTCTACTAAAAATACAAAATTAGCCAGGTGTGGTGATGCAAGCCTGTAATCCCAGCTACTCAGGGCGGGGGGCGGGGGCTGAGACAGGAGAATTGCGGGAACCCAGAGGCAGAGGTTGCAGTGAGCCGAGATTGCGCCACTACACTCCAGCCTGGGCAATAGAGTGAGACTCCCTCGTCAGTCAGTCCTTCTCACAAACAAAAAAAAAAAAAAAAAAAAAAAGAGCCCTTTCCTGAGGTGCAGCTAAGGGAGAGACTAAGATTCTAAAAGCAACTTAAGAGCAAAAAAGAATGCTTTTTGAACTGAGGGAAAACAAAGAAAAATATATAAAGGATCCACCTAAGAATAATGTAGTAATTATGAGACTGTTAAAAAACAAAACAAACAACAACAAAAAACCCCTGACTCCTGGCCACAGAGTTGAAAAGCCCCTAGGCACGCTGAGTAGCTCTTAATTGAGACTGCACTTCACTAACCAGTGAGGTGAGGAAAAACAGGACCTCAGTAAGGGAGTAAAGTCAAAGATAAAATTACAAACAGGCCAAATGAATGGACCTGAGAGGAAGTGATAAAATTCGCAACACACTCAGCTGTGTTTATTGTAGGGAATCACCCCAGGTCTAACGGCCATTGTAATCACCCCGCTCAGGGCAGAAGTCTTCCCACAGGCCCTCAATAACCTCAATCCTTGATAAAAAGCCAAAGGAGCCTGACTTTCCACTTGGGTCAAAACCCCCGCACATTCATTGTTTCGGATCCAAAGCACCACCACCAGCAACCCCTGCGCACAACCCGGGGCTCTCCAGCACCGCTGTTCGTGATGCCAAGTGCCCAGCACGGGGTCTGGCACCGTTTCCTTAATAAAAATGTCCTCTTCTCGTCTCCAGGATAAAACTCAGGATCCGGAAGGCAGCCTTACACCCTCTCCAGCCAGGCTCCGTTAGGAGATGAGTGCGCACAAACAGCCCCAGGGGCCAGCCACCCCCTTCCCGTGCCACAACTTCCTGTCCCTTCCATCACTTCCACACCACGACTCTAGTTTCCATCCAGTTCACAACTGTCATCAAGATCCCAGGGTCTGGAGGAAAGGGGGCAGGGCGGCTCTCCACCCTCAACTCTTCACTTAAGGGGCGTCTGAGAAGAACCCACGAAAGTGGGGCCAGAAAGCACTGGGACCACGAGCACCAGCCCATGTGCCGACCCGGGGGGCCACCTACTCCCGGGTGAAACCCACGCTGGGCGCACGGGGGCGAGCCACACAGTCGTGGCCCCAAAACAGCAGCAGGCGCGCCCCCTCGCATTGACATTTCTCCGGTGTGAAGTGCCGAAGCTTGGGATGCAAGAGCGGGATTACTGTCCCGAAGCTCAATGCACTTGGAAGCACTCGGCGTCCCCAAACCCTAGGCGACTTCCCCATCGGCGCTCCCTGGTGAGGGCTCCGACCGCCCCCGAATCCCAGAGCTGCGCAGCCGGGCCGAGCCCCCGACCGGGGTCCTCCGCCGGGCTCTGGGCAAACCTGGCAGGGCCGCTGTCCGCGAACTTGGCCGCGTGGGCCGGGCAGGGACCAGGTGGGGCGCGCACTCACCAACCCCGTACTTCTGCCTCTTGGTCGGGATCCAGCGGGCCATGGCGGCGACCTCGCCCCGCGGCGGCGGCGACTAAGGCTGCTACAGCTCCTCCGGCTCCGGCCGCCGCCGCGCCGCGCTCCTGCGTGCCCCGGGCGCTTCCGCCATGTTCCGCCAAACTTCGCTGGACTGCGCTGGCCGCCTCCCCGCCGCGCCGCCCGCGCCCGTGCCCGCGCCGCCCGCGGTCACCTGCTGGGCCGGGCTGCGGCGCAGCCTTTGCGCGCCCCTCCGGCGGCCGCCCCGGCCCTTCCGCCGGGGCCGCCTCCGAGCCGCGGGCGCCCGGCCTCTCCCGCCCGCGCCGCTTTCTGCGCTCTGCCGGGCGGGGACCGACTGCGGCTCCGCCTCGCGCGCTTCCCGGGAGCGGCTTCCCGGGCCGGCGGGACTTTGGCGCTGGCGGCGCTTTGCCTTTCCCCTGCCCTCCCCACCCGGCTAATACCGCAGAGGCCGGGTCCCTGCGGTCGGGCTCCCGACCGAGGATTGCGCTGGAGGCGCCGGGCACACCCAGGCCGGGCGGCCGGTGGGCGAGGGATGCGGGCTGCGCTCCCACGGCGCGCGCCGGACGCTTGGGGAGCGGAAAGGGATCAGCAAGAGCGGTTTCTTGCCCCGGGGCGCCTCCGGTGCCTGGCACTAAGCGGGCGCGCAATAAATATTTGTTGAATGAATGAGCAGTTGACTTCTGCCTTTACCCCCTGGAGCTTGAACCCTCGCCGCAAGCGCGGGAAGCCGTACCCGGGACATACTGGATCTCCTGGGGCCACCAATTAGAGCCTGGAAAGCAGAACTTCTATCACCAGAGAGCTGGTGCAAGGGAGGCGGGCTCCTCAGAAGTATCAGATCGTTTGCTAGGGGATCCTCTGCAGAGAAATTGTTTAGAAAGCCCTAATTTGAAAGTCCCCAAACTCCGGGGACCCCCCAACCCTAAGCTGAAGAAACTTAGACCCTCATGCACAGGGGAAAAGTCCACCCCCAGACCTCCCTTTCTCAACCAGCCAGCAGCCCAGAGAGCATCCCCGCGGAAAGAGGACAAGGCGCATCCCCGTCTTTTCTCCGTCAACGACTGCATTTTCTTGACGAAGATCCCAATGGGGCTGCGCATTTGAACCGCCTTGGGCTCCAGGTGGCGCCCTCTCTGGAGCGCCCTCTTGAAATTCATTTCTTCCTGGAGAGACCTGGAGAATGAAGATCCAGGGGTTTCTCGCTACCTTGTACTGAGAAGTAACATTGCAAGCGGAGTAAATGACCAGCTTAATTACGTTCACCGTCGAAGAAGACGCCTCTAGAGAGAAATTATATCCTCTTTGCAGTCTGTGAAGGTTTTCAGGCTTTTTAGGAACGTAAAAGAAAGGAAGATTAACATGTAGTAAAGACAGGTAGTTGACCGGGCGCGGTGGCTCACGCCTGTAATCTCAGCACTTTGGGAGGCCGAGGCGAGCGGATCACCTGAAGTCAGGAGTTCCAGACCAGCCTGGCCAACATGGTGAAACCCCTTCTCTACTAAAATACAAAAGTTAGCCGAACGTGGTGGTGTGCTCCTGTAATCCCAGCTACCCAGGAGGCTGAGGCAGGAGAATCGCTGGAACCCGGGAGGCAGAGACTACAAGTGAGCCAAGATCGGGCCACTGCACTCCAGCCTGGGCAACAGGGCAAAACTCCGTCTAAAAAAAAAAGAAAGAAAGAAAAGAAGAAGAAGAAGAAAAAAAAAGACAGTAAAGATAGATAGGCAAACGAGATAACAAGATAGTAAAGTTTCATTGGAGAATTGGTGCATTTTAACTTTGGTGGTTTTTTGCAAAACCAGGTCTGAATTTTTTTTGAAGTCCTATTCATGGTGGGTAACTACTAGAGCTGGCTTTTTTTTCTCCATCAACCAATAGGTATTTATTCACCATGTTTAACAATAATTTAAGAAATTCCTCTGTCACTTTAGACTTGACATCCAGAAAGAGTTCCACCATCTTCCCCAAAATAATTTATCTTCCTCCATTAGTATATCATGATTCTAATTTCCCAGGTTAGGTAATTTCTTCTTCCTTCTTCACACACATATTAAATGCCTACACATTAATGTGTAATTAAATGCCAGGCATCTCTCTAAGAATGAGGGTGCAGCGGTGAATACGGTAAAATGTGTCCCTTCACAGAGCTTCTAGTCTAGACGAGGAGAGTAAGACAATAAAGAAATGTACACCAAATGAGGGTCAACATTAGAGAAAATTCCAAAGCAAGGAGGATAGGGCATGTAGGGTGATGCTGTTTGTATGGAGTGCTCTGGCAATGCAGCTCTGCTAAGCTGACGTTGAGGTGTAGACCTGAAGGAAGCAAAGATTCCAGGAGAAAGTGTTCTGGAAAAGAGGAGCAGCAAAGGCAAAGAACACCAAGCTGGTTTGGCAGGTTCCCAAGTCAGCCAGGGATCCTGGGTAGTGAGAGCTGAGTAAGAGGTAAGAGGAAACTTGGTCTAAGAGGCAGAGGGGTGCCAGATAGAACAGAACCCTGACAGGAATATGAACTTTATGTATTACTGCTACAAGAGAGGTTTGGAGGGCTTTGAGCCAACCTGGGACATATTGCACTTATTTGCTATGGTATGAATCCATTGTAAAGGGGCAAGGGAGGCCCACATGGATGGACGTGGGTGGCTATTTCAGTCATTCAGGCAAGACATGAAGGTAGTTGGGACCAGGAGGTTTGGGGTGGAGGTGAAAAAGAAGTTGGGTTCTTAATATATGTGAAAATAGAACCTGGCCAGATGCGGTGGCTCACACCTGTAATCCCAGCATTTGGGGAGGCTGAGGTGGGAGGATTGCTTAAGGTCAGGAGTTGAAAATCAGCCTGGACAACATAGTGAGACCTTCCTCTGCTATATATATATCCTGGGCATGGTGGCTGTGCCTGTGGCCCTATCTACTTAGGAGACTGAGGTGGGAGGATTGCTTGAGCCCAGGAGGTCAAGGCTAGCAGTGAGCTATGATTGCATCACAGCATGAAAAAGAACCAATAGAAGGGCCACATGAATGGCGGGGGGATTTTCTACGATGAGGCTTCTGATGTTCTTGGTGTGCTTCAATCTTTTTTGGGAAGTTTTCCACCAGAAAGAGATAAGCTTGTATTTTTCTTTTCTTTTTTTTTTTTTTAAGAGCCCTACCCCTATCATACACATTTCAGGCCCCACACACCTTGGTTCTTGTCCCTGCATGTGAGATACAACCTGGGTCAAGAATGACGCTAAAGCCAGCTAGGTCGCATGTGCCTGTAGTCCCAGCTGCTCGGGAGGCTGAGGCAAGAGGATTGCTTGAGCCCAGGAGTTCCAGGCTGTAGTGAGCTATGCCGATCAGGTGTCTGCACTAAGTTCCACATCAATATAGGGACATCCTGGGAGCAGGTGACCACCAGGTTGCCTAAGGAGGGGTGAACTGGTCCAAGTCAATTATTTGGAAAGCCCTGTATCCCAAAACTTCGGTACTCCTCCTTAGCTGAAGAAATTCAGGCCCACATATCCAGGGGGAAAATCCATCCCAAGACCTCCATTTTCCAACCAGCCAGCAGCCCAGAGAGCATCCCTGTGTAGAAAGCGACTAGATACATCCTTGTCTTTTCTCTGTCACCGACTGTATTATTGACAAAGATCCCGTAGCCAGGACTTCACATTTGAATTGCCTTGGGCTCCAGGTGGCATCCTCTCTTGAGCTCCCCTTCTGATCAATAAAGGGATGGCACCTGTGAATTGCCACTGCATTTCAGCATGGACAACATAGCAAGACCCTGTCTCTAAACAAATATTGATTCAAAACAAAAAGAATGACTCTAAGGTTTGGGGCTTGAACAACTGGGGAGTAGAGTTGCCATTGTCTTGGTCACCATTGATATCTATCTTGTCCTCACCCTTTCCTGTCCCAGTTGCTCTGTATCAAAGTTTTCCTTTCAATATTTCTTTAGGACCCACTTCTTCATGCCTTCCTCAGCAACTTCTCCATGTGGCCCCTTAGGAGCTAAAGCGCTCTGCACTGAATTATATGACCTGCCTGTTGTGGACTCAGGTCTTCTCAAAGTTACATGGATTCTCCGTGCTTAGGGAAATTGGATGACCTCTGTTCTCTGAACACAGGTATATTTCAAATGCAATATACATCAGAATGTTAATGCTATTATCCAGTGGAACTGGGTTTCTACCAAAGAGATTTCAACTGCCTCATCCCACTCTTGCATTGAAGTCTTCTTCCAAAACTAGATCCTTGAATTTGGGAGCCAGAGATTTCAAATTTGACAGTTGCTTTAAGAGAGTTGGAGGAAAATGGAAAATTTTAATTACAGCTTTCAGTATGTTTATCATTTCCTTCTGAAAACTGAAATCCACTCACTTTGCTATATCAGATGGCTAAATCCCAGTTTGAATGTCCTTTTAAATCATAAAAGCAGAGCTTTTCAAAGTCTTTTATTAGAATGAGGCTTAAAATTAGACAGTCAACCAGACAGGTAGGTGGAACGACAGCATGATGCCCAGAAATATCCTTTTCTTTTTCCTCTGTTATCTTTTCAGAAGAAACATTAAGCATATTCCACGACCAGAGATCTTCAAACTCTAAAACCCACACAAATACAAACACACTTATGCACGCACAGACACTCAGGCTCTGCTTGAAGGACCCATGGAGACAGAAATGAGGGTAAGTGACTTTGAGGGTTAGTTTGACAGGAGTATTGTGACTATCCGTTACAATGCCTTAGAGAATAAATGGACAGGATGTGAAGAGAACTGGCAAGAGCCTCATCTTCCCTGTTGATTACCAGGTTTATTTTTGTCAAATCAGGCTGATCTGATGGCTTCTCTGTGAGATGCTGTGGATTCGTTTAAAGTGTGTTTTTTTTCTCTCTCTCTAGATAAAGGAAGATTATTCTTTGATCCTATATGAGTGAGTGGCTAGTGGAACTACCAAAAAAATGATAATGATAAAAATAATGTAATTGGTTCTAAGCAGTGCTTTGCAGGCTCCTAAGGATGGTTCTAGGTAAGCCAGGAGTAGGTGATACATTGTAATTCTGCGACCTAGGAGCTTAGCAGGACAAAGGAAACATCAATCACTCTAGTCCCAGAAGTAACTTTTCATAGGCCCCAGGGATTCCAGCATCATTATTCACTCTTCACTCTACAAGTGACTTAGGTTGTGAGCAACTCTGAGTCTGCATAG